CAATCTCTGGCATTATCTTCCTAGCAGGCGAAAAGAAGGTTTATTCAATGTAAATGCAGATGTAAGAAAAAAGAATTAGTGATTTTAGATCAGCTTGCATAAAGAAATTATTACATTGGACTGAAAAGTACTATCTCTGAGAAATGATGAAGTTCTAAAGTCTTCTTTGGTCTGAACCTTAATGTACTAATTTTCTTACATAGACCTTTTGCTTGAAATGGACTGTGCAAAAGGGATAGCTAACCCAACCCTCACCATGCAAAAGCCCTGCCATAACACAGAAAAGCAGTGCCACACCCCTGCTTGAACTGTGTTGTCCTAAGATGCAGAATAAACGAGCACTCGTCGAAAAACAAAGCTACCTACTTGTGTCTTGGGGTGGCAGTACAGTCATATTGCCTTTACATTACAACTTCACACAACAGCAAATAGAGGGATACAGGGGATTGAGCTTGGGAATATGCTAAGCACGATACTAATATGAAGACTTTTCTCCTTTACATCTGTCAGAGCTGGGTGTGAGCGGCCTACTCTCTTGCTCTGCTGTTCGACTGTGCTGGTGGATACAGGTGAACCTAGTTTCACAGGAAGCAGAAGACATTGGCTGAGGCAGCCAGGGGTGTTAGTTTTTGCAGCAGAGGAATGCAGTGAGTGTCAATAATTAAGCTGTTTTTAAAGCAAAGATTTGTAGCCACTTGTTACAGTTTATTGGAACTTAAAGATAATTTATTCCATGCAGCACCTTACTTTGTACATTGGCTGAAAAGCATTAGTAGCTGTCACAACCATTACATGTCAGACAGTAAAAACTCAAAGATGGGAGATCATCTGCTTTTCCAGTCCCCCTAGCTTGTCTTCCCTGTGGCTCTCCTGTGTGAGGGGGTGAGTCAGCAGCCCCAGTGTCTCGCTGCAGTGACCTACAGGAGTCTGTGTGCAGACAGCTCCCCCAGGTCTCAGGGGAACCACAGGGGACCACTGCTCTCCTGCTCCTTGCCACCCACACACATGGATCAGAGACAAGCTCCCAGGACGAAAACCTTGAAGCTCTGGAGCATTGCAGGGGGCAGACTAGTTAATGAGAGATTTAGGAACAAAATGTATAGCCCCTGACTACTCCTACTCCTCCTACTTCTACTCCTTAGACGTGTGCTGAAACTTACTAATTTGAAAGAATCAGCTTACAGAAACTGTCCATATATTACATTATCATATATATCATATTATATTAGAGCTTTACACTTAGTGCGAATCGCACAACACACTGACTTTTGGTGTACAGCATGCAGTATAATGCCAAACATTCACAGCATTGCTCTTGGGTTACTATACCTGAGGCCACACTTTGATCCTTTAACATAACTATCATCTGCTGTACTGTGGAAACAATGTAGAACTGAACAAATGGGACTTATAAATATGTATGATATATTTTATGCACATTATTACATAAAAGTCATACAAATAACCAAATACATTTGTGAAATGGAGGGTGTTCACAAATTAGAAAGATACTGTAGCGCTCTTGAGTTCATGTGGGTAAGTGCCCTAGCCGCTGCCGCCTCAGGTCGGCCCCCCACCACTGGGGACTTCACTCAGCAGGGACCCAGCCAGCTGAGCCAAAGGGAGATCTCCCCTCAGCCCGGCGGCTGCGGTCCCTGCTATTCACTGGGAAGGGTGGTGACGTCACCGCGCTGGCGAGCCGGCTCGCACAACTTCTTATGTCGGCCGTCTGCGTTACAATACCTTATAAAAAAAACTTGCAGGACTCCAGTAAATGTTTTGCTTTCTCTTGGAATGGAAGACCGTAAGAGACTCCTTGAACAGGAAAAACAAAATGTTCCTGATCTCCTGCTGGATACACGTAGGAGTCTGTAAGATGTTGAACCTTAAGTTCTGTATGAGAGTTTGAGGTCTATTTGCACAAATGCTCAGGGATTTTTCTGTGGGTTGCTATGGTGCCAAATGCAAATTCAGGATTGTATGAATGTTGCTTTAATTTTAGTCAGTAATTGTTAAAGGGAAAATCTAAACTTGCACCATTTTAAGATTTTCAAAGGAAATTGCTAAGGCAAAATAAATGTCCATAAGACGTACCCCCAATTAAAAAAAAGCTCACTCAAAAACAGGTATGCACACATACAGTTACACAATTTGTCTTGTGACAGTAAAAAACACAGCACCTGTCATATTTGGTAACCAGGAGCCGTATGATCTTGTTCAGACATTCTGAAAAAGCAGAGGGTGAAAAAATCTGTTATTGCTCGAGAACGCTCTGCTGGTAATGAGCCAACGTGTTTTCTAAGGACATTCTTTTGCTCTTAGAGTACTCCATGTTGGAGTGACTGTTACTCCAGTGACTGCACTCCACTATGATATTCAGGCATTGCTTGTACAGCCTGAGAAATAAGACCTCCAGAATGGCACTGCAGGCCATGTTCAAACGGGCTGCTTCTGTGATCTCAGAATGTCTGCAAGCATAAACCTTCAGGTAACAGCAAGAGGTGCTTGCCTTTAGTGATACAGCAATTGCTACAATTGTTTTTTATACAGCAATTGCTACAATTGGTTTTTATGTTTTACTCACAGATGTGAATTAGAGATCATTTTAAAAGCTTATTTCCCTCTTCTTTTATGGAGCTGACAGTCTACGTTAGTCATTTTCCTCACAGAGATGAAAGGAAGTGAAACTCCAGGGCCAGGCGCAGAGGGGACTCTCTGCAGCAGAGCCCAGATTCCACACACATCCCTCTGCCTTTCCTTCTCCCTCTTCCGCCGGTACCTGTCTCCCAGGGTGGCCCCAGTAACAGCCAGCTGGCACACCAGCACCGCAGAAACACGACTGATTGCAACACACCTGTTCGCCACATTCCGCCCCACCATCGAGACAGCCCTGCGCTCATCCCCAGTACAGTGCCAGGCTTACAACACTTGTCTGTCACAGCTCAAACCAGCTCGGTTTCTGCTGCACATCCACAGAATCCACCCCACTCATGACTACAGGATTGTTTTTACACCCATGCAGTGTCAAGAAGTCAACAAAAAGCAATCTGGGACAATGAGGTGAGTCAAGAAGCTCCACACTGATAACGAGTGGGGCTTCGAATGGGCAGATCTTGTAAACCTTCATTAAACTTTCAAACAAATCCTCTTTTCTCAAGTGAAGATAAAATTTTCTAATAACTAGATTTTAGATAGTGTGATAAATGTTCTGTATTATTTTAGATTATAATACTGATAATAAATGGGGCATGAAAAGTAAATTTCTCTTGATTTTATTTGATGATCTGCCAGTTTGTCACAGTGGCCCAGATTCTGCCCTATTCATCTTCATACAAGGGGCTCTTGGTGTCTTAATAAACAGCAGGCCAGGACACTGTGTGACAGCATCATTAGTCATCTCCCCATAATCCTGGCCAGTTTCTCCAGGGAGTTATTAGCACATCAATTAAACTGCAAAACCTACGGGCAGTTAAGTGCTCCATAGCTAGCCAAGCAGTGTATTCCTTCAGATAGGTTTCATTAGCTCTTTTTATCAAGTGACAGATAAAATCGGCATATTCAGACAGAGACAGCTTGTGGCCTTAGTCTGTCCTTATTTCCTGTTCAACGCAAACCTACACCATGTGATAAAAAAATCAATTAGAAAACAAGATTTTCCATTTTTCAGGTCAGATGTGGTACAAACCTCTCACTATCATAATTTCAGAGCAGTGTGGGAAGGCACAGCAGGCAAATGGTTCTGTTTAAAAGTTGGAAAACTTTATACATTGCAAACAGATCGACTTGGCACATTGCAGGAGGGTGGAACTCTCTGGACAATGTTTAGCAGTCTGCCAAAGGCAATCAATTATATTTACCGAAACAACTATTCAGACAAGTGTGTGTTGCTTTACACCCGTCAGAATATTCCTTGTGCACTCGAATGTTTTATAAATAGACGTGTTAGATTCAGAAATAGAAGGATTTATTTTCTGAGGAACAGTAAGACTCCAAGTTCCTGTAAAGCTACACAATTTACACATCCTTTTTCCCATGTTTAAGCACACGGTATTTATCAAGATAACGATTAACTACACGAATTCATTTCCTGGATAGTCTTAAAAATATTAGTTTTTTCAGACACAAAGTTATTGCTATCGCATTTTTTTAGGATAGTTTAATTTTATTCAAAATATTTTTACGTTTTAAATGTACATTTATATACAATATAGGTAAAATTGAAAATTATTATTAGAAGTCACATAACGATCACGAGTATTAAAACGAAATCTGTTAAATGTCTCTCTAAATATATAATTTAAAATTCAAAGATAAAAAGTATTTCAATATCTATGTATCTCAATCATTTTAATACATGACCTTATGTAAAATTAATAACTGCTACAATCATAACAATTGAATTTTTTTCTGATTTTGAAAACGTTTATTCGTAATTTTCTACCAATCCTGCAACAATCACAAAGGCAAATAACGCCCCCTGTCAACTCTACAAAGTACTACCACTTACCAGTCAACACTGCGATGAAGGGTAAGACCGCGTACTATGTGCTATTTCAGATTATTGCATTATTCATGCAAAGTTTGATTTCTGAATCTGGAGAGACAAAAGTCCTTTTCTTCTGAATAATCTTACTTCATTTAATGAATTTAAACAGATTTCTTGAGCCCTAAAGCACAACAATGTTTTCATTTGTTGTGCATTGAATGCCTATATAAACCTATAGCAGTGGCAATGTTATTTCATTTATTTAACGTGGTCGTTAGGTTGACAGGCTTTCAAATGACAAATTAATTTGAGTGCGTTAACGATACGCCTTTCACGCAAGCTTGCTCGGCGTCTCCAATGAGCACACAGTGCCGGCGGCGCACCGCTGTCTTTGTTGCTAAAAGGCTCCACCGCACCGGTGTTTGAGATCGTATCGATTCAGTGCTCATATTGATCAACGAATCGTTAAATCTTTCCTTCCGTCATAGGATGTTAAGAGGATTGGATTTACTTCTTCAGTTCAGACATGCTAAATGACCTGCCTTACGTTCAGCCCATCAAGGGACACTAGGTCAAACCCGTGGGGCGGGCGGTTTTATAATAATTACCCTGCCAAAAGTGCTCTGTAGGTTAGCTTGGAACCGGCAAGTTAAACAAGTAAGATGAGTTTTAAGCACGGTAAAAACCGACATGAAGTCGCAAACGATGAACCTTAAACGATCATACCGTTCTATCTACTTTTGGGTGTTCTTTAATCGGATTTAGAAATGTCTGTTTTACTGGTTTAATGTGATCTTGATCAATGCTTTCCTTTCCCTTCAACGTGTTATAATTCTCTTCTCAACATGCTATTGTCCAACTCTTACGTGCATTGTCCTATCGGGAGAAAACACCACTACACGAGAGGACTGGATTTATTTATTTCTTTAATTTATGGATGTTGTCCGGTCTCCTCGATGCTTTTTAACTGATTGTGCTCAGACCAGTATTACTCAGTACGCTGAGCTGTACAGATGTGACTTGTCTTTTGCATTCCTCACCTAACGACGGCAAGGAACTCCAAAGAAACCCGATTGGAGCCGCGTTCTCGGATGTGGCGAGTTTACAACCGGCGCAGAGGAATGTGGAAAGCGAACTGCAAATGTGGATTGCAAATCGTGAGTCATGCGTCTTTAAATAGGGGTCTGTACTCACTGCCAAAGTTGAATGTGATTTACTTTTAATCCGCATGAGACCCAATCTAGGTTGTGTTTCGACATTCCAGCAGAACGTGGTGAACAAAAATAATAAAGCCCTTTCAGAGATAAAGTAGAAATGTAACGAATCCTATCGTTATAATGTTTCAGGTTTTTTTTTAGACCACTGTCTTGATCAAGTGGGTAGTCGTCTTTTATGTTGAATAAATACAATCTTAACTTGATAAAATAATATTTACTTTATTAAAAAATAAAATTACAGAATTAAAAGTAACAAGACACAGAAATCCCTACTTTTTGAATTCCGAAGCACAGTGATTTATTATTATTTAAATTCTTTCTATTCCTTTTGTAGATAAGAAAGGTATTGTTCTGTTCATAGCTGGCACTGTGCTGAGCTCTTCAGTTATCGGTCTCTTTCCCTCTCAGTCCTGGAGGTGACAGCTGACGGCTGTGTGTTGTTTCCCCTGTCAGACAGGCAGTGCCATGAGTAAGAGCAGCCCGTGGGATGGAGGGATGGGGAGAGGGTTGAGGGGGTTTGGGGTGCATGCTGGCTTATCACACTGTTTCACTGATACCTGGCAGGCAGGACCATCCATTACTCACAGAGCATTAAAACAAACTTCCCATCGAAGTCCGTAAGCAAAGGGCTGATCTTCTGTTCTCACTGAAATACCAATGCAATGCAAAACCATTAGCATTGTAGCACTGGAAACATGAGGTTTGTATTTGGTAAATGTCAGTATTAGAGTGCCTCAAAGCTTTTCACGCTTACAGGCACAACAAAAGGATGAAACATATTAAATGAGGTTCAAAATGACCAAAGCAACACTAACTAAATTATATTATGCTGATAGTCTAACAGGAACTCTGGCAGAGGCTTGAACACAGACTTAACAAGCACTAATGATTGCAATTAGTAATTAACTCGCTGCACAAACATCCTTTCTGCTTTGGGATCACACTTGTGACACTGTGTTGGGGGGCAGCTTTAATGATGCTCCAGTTGCACAGAAGAGACTTTGTGAATTTCTCCCAGCTTTTCTTTTTTTTAATGCAGTACCTTATTTTCCCTGATAAGCTTGCAGGTTACTTTAGGGAAACAGCTCAGAAACGCAGTAAACACAATGAGCCACTCTTCTGTTTCATCATCAAAACACTTCATCTTTGGATAAGATGAATAGTGTGGTGTCACAGTGGGCAGAGACTTCTTTTTATTGCAGTCTGCTCAAATGAATGTTCACTACCGCAAAAAGAAAACTGAAAAAGCAAAAAGACCAATGAGGAAAGAGCCCTAATCTTGAAGAACGCATAGTTCTTTAGAAGAACACAAACTGCCTTACAGCCTCATAGAGACTCTTATAAACATATATCAGTAGGCAGCAGTATGGAGAAATACCTAGGACTGGATTGGTCAGTGTTAGGTTTGGGGTGGAGATGCTGCTTTCGAGTGACAAACTTGATCCAGAATGCTCCAGTAAAGTGTCAATTTGTGTAAATGTATATAGTTACTGTGAGTCACTTTAGATAAAAGCATTAGCCAAATAACAGTCTTAACAATATAAAAATAAAACATCTATTTTAAAAACTGTTTTTCCCATGCAGTGTTTTAAACCAGAGGTCCTGCAAAGCTAGAATTTTCACATCCCATGTAGTTAAATACTGAAAAGTCTAGTAAGAAGATAATATGTGAGAAAAAAGGCCCCGAGCACAGCCAATCTGGACTCTGAAAATTGACACCTCTTCCAAGGACCCTGGTTTTAAAGACGCCGAATTCCTGAGGAAGATTCAAACTCCAGGAGCCACTGCAAGGGGTTGTTAATTAGCAGCTGTCCCTCTCGGTGTCTCGAGCGAGCCAGTCACAGCCCTGAACCCCAGACACCCCCTGCTCCTCCCGGCCAGGGGCTCCCTGCTGGATGCCCGTGGCTCCCTGTGCCGGCTGCAGACACAGGAGCCACGGGGCTGCCCCGTGCACAGCCAGCTCAAACACAGCAGGACGAACACAAATCAATTAAAGCTTGCATGCGAGCCGGTTGGTGTATTCTCAAAGGTCAGGGCTCAGGACACAAGAAGTCTACAACATTGCTGTCATTCTGTGAGTCATCTGTAAGAAACACAGCCACAGGGAAACCATCTACTGCTTCAACAGACTTTGTTCTCTTATTTCTGTTTTTTTGTGTGCAGATACTTAAGGGTTGCCATAGAAAATTAAACAGTTAAATTAAGTGCTTATATTTAGCTGTAATTGGAAAGAAGAGGTTCTGTGCTGGAAGCACTGGAAGGTAAGCGTTAGTTTGTCATCAAATTTATTCTCCCAGTGGAGACAGAATCAGAAAAATAATAATGCTATTGCAGTCAGATGTTATGTGATCCAGCACTTAATGTCTTTAATTTCTCAGGAACAGAATGTTTGCATACTAGGCTGTCACACATGCAAACTGCTTTCAGCCTGGTAAAGTCATGATGTTTGCAAAAGGTGCTACGGCGCCCCCCGATGTATGCAGAAAGTGCCTGCAGGTTCCACCAGACCCAACAGCCCCTGTGTGGCCACAGCCTGCTCCACCACTCTGGCAGCTGGCACCACTTCAGATTGAGAATTGTATTCTCAGTTCTAGTGTGCTCCACTTGACTGAAACGTGAGCACAACTAATTATAGCAATGTAAATTTCGGTGCTCACTGCACTACTGACACTACTATTAGAGCTTTCTTCAACAAAGCTTTAAAGAATAGCTCTGAAGGTGTTCATTTAACCAGCCCCCTTGGACAAGGTTGTTTTTAAGATACATTAACAACCTCAAAAGCACCACACTTTTATTTCAAGGTTCAGTTTATTTGAACAATGCGATTATGTGCATATTCAGCTGATAATGATCAGGTTCTTTTCCCAGCCTGGGCACTACAGTCACGCTTGATGCTGGAGAACAGAGAACTCTGTGGACCTTTCTGGGCATTGCAGATCATCATACAATGAGGGCATCTACAGCAACATTTTCTTCCATGTTCTGTAGTGTTGTGAACGATAACTCACTTGGAACAAGTAAAGGTTTATTCCAAGCTGAAAAGAGAAGAAAGAAAACACAATGTTTCGTCTGTGGAGCCTTCTTCGGGTCTTCTGTTTTCTTTCTTCTCTTTTCAGCATGGAATAAACCTTTACTTGTTCCTTTGCAGCTGACACAGCTACCCACCTGAACTACTTCTACCTACTTCTGCTGTGACCCACTATGCCTTCCTCCAAATCTTTTTCTAGATCTCTTCGTCGTTCCTTCTCCTCCTCCCTGGGCCACTTCCCCCCCCTCTTACTAAACCAGCAGTCAATCTCTTCACAGCGATCTGTTCCAAGACCAGGCTTTCTAATTGACCCGAAGAAGGCTCCACAGCCGAAACACTGTGTTTTCTTTCTTCTCTTTTCAGCTGGGAAAAAACCTTTACTTGTTCCTTTGCAGCTCAAGCTGCCCACCTGATAACTCACTTGTGTTAGAAGAGCTATCAAAGGGTTCTCTGTTTTTCTGTGCTCCTCCCAGTGTTAGCGGGGGACACAGTGATGCCTGAAATGACCGCCCTGGACATGGCCCAGCCTCGGCCGGCGGTGCTTCTGGTTTCGTTCCCCTCTGGGAGCCGAGATGAGCTCAGCCCAGGTGTGGGCTCCTGTGCAGGTAAACTTCTTATTGTCTCCCTGATGCGTCTCCACAGGGCCGGCGGCCCTCCCAGTGAGGCCGGCATAGTGGGTGTGTGTTTCATGTCAGTGACCCAGAGAGAGCTCAGCACCTCTGGGAGCGGGTCTCCGGTGTCTTCTCCTGGCAGGAAAGATTAATGGTCTGACATTACGGCCGTCAGAACCCTTCATCAGTCTGCGAGGCGAAATGCTTCTGCCAAATGTGTTAGGTGACAGTCAAGGGCTGACTCTGCTTTACTGTGTTTTACAAGTTCCTTAAAGCTGTTAATTGTGGCAGAGTGCTTATGGCCTTTATTACTATTAAATGTTGCATTTCTCCTTTCTGTTTTTTTTAGTGTGGAATTATCCCTTCCATGTTCCTTCACAGATATTTTTTGTGTTAATAATAAGCTGTTAGGTGATGGTAACTGGATTTGGTTTGAAATGCATTAAGGTTTGTTATTCTGGCATCATTGCGATCACTCAAAAGTCTGAGTGAAAATTGTGAAGCTTGTTAAGATAACAAGCTTAATGAATTTATATATATTTATGTGTCTGTGTGTGAAGTAAAAAGTTATTGGGTCAAAAGTACTGCACTACTGACCTGTTTGTATTTGTTTCCCAATGACTCTGTGGGAGTTTTTGAAGATGCCTGAAGATGCCCTGTTCACCTCCAGTGTTTCAGAGAAACACCCAGGGGCACCAAATGTTGGGAGCTGAGCAGGACTGTGACCTTTTAGCTCCTGGGTCATGAGCTCCTGGGTCACCTTCTTTAAACAAAAGCAGCATAGCGATCTATTATGAGGGCCGGGCATGAATTGATCCATCACAGGACTGGTCCAGCTTAGCTGAAAGAACAAGTTAGGCTACTTCAGAACCAGTAAGGACACTATAATGTTATAGATTTTTCATTTAGCAAAGATTTGTTGAAACCAATGTGTATGTACTGTATTGCATCAGTATCGGTGAAATGAGGACAATTGCTGTTGTTAACATTTGCCAAACCGTTGCTAAGTCAAATACAGCAAATAAAAGATTGATTGGTTGGTTGATTGACTGAAGTATGCATGAGGAAAGGTTATTTATTACCTGGTTTATAGCTTCAAATAGGGGTCTTTAAATTACAAACAAATCACTGTACACAGTATTGTGCAATCTTTCAAATATATACATTTTTGGGTTTTTTTTTCTACCTTGGGGATCCAGGATGTTCAGATTGCAAAGGCAGGACATGTCAAGTTTTATGATTTACTTCAGATTGTTTACAGATTCATTTTTAATGAATAATTCTTTTTCATTGGGAAGAATCTGCTACAAAACTACCAAGTTAAACAAAAACAGATGTTTAGAATATTATACCTAAGACTCACTCCAGCAGACGTTTGAAAGAGTTCCAGAGCTGCTTCACTCTTTTATACTCTGGGTGAGTTATGGGTGAGTTACCACTGTGTCACATCCTGTATGGAAGACTTTCTCTTCCCTGCCCCCCTGCTGTCAGTACACCCCCCTGCCATATTGAAATGAGCTCTGCTAAACACAGTCCAATTGTGCTCATTCTCCACCCAGATGTCATCCCTCTGGCTTCACTGTTCTTTTAACTGGACTCTACAAATATGTGGAGTTCCAACAGTTACTAGAACATACACGCAATTTGTCTTACCCTTCTTCACAATGTGCTTCCTAATATTAATCCAGCTAAGTGACAACATTAATAAGATGTTGCTCTTAGGCTTATGATATATAACAGTTAGGCTTAATGCTGAGCCTTGCATCTTTGATCTGAAATTATGCAAACTGTCCTGCCCTCCTTCAGTAAAGAAGATACCCCACCCCCCTTTGTTGGGAACTCTTTCATTTAATTAAATTAAAAATCAAGTGACCAAATAGCTTTAAGATTTCCTGCTTCTGCTCGCCTCACTGGTGGTGAAGTACCCCCCGTGCAGCCCACAGCTCTCGTGAACTAATTATTATTTACTTCTAGACCAGAGTGCTCGAGTGAAACTTCAGCCAAATACTGGGGTTGATGACCACAGCCCAGCAGACACTTGCCACTTACCCACTACATACACAGACAAGCACAAAAGGCCTGACCTGTCCTTTCATACGAGATTCTTTCATTCACGGCCACAGGAATTCTTGGAATCAACCTAAACTTGTAATTGCAAATAATTATCGTCATTGGCATCACTGTGATTCCAGCTGCTTGCCGGGCTCTGAAATGATGAATGTTTGTGGCAGGCTGGGTCAGAGAGGGACTGAGGCTTTAGCCGAACTGCCACTAGAGCACATTAATGGCCTCTAATCCTTGGAAACAGCCACAGTGGGGATTAATTAGTAAATGAATTGGGTGGTTGGTGTAGGGGAGAGGTTACACGTTCTCACATGGCTGTCACAAAGTCAGTTTGTTATATAAAGAGCATCGGGTGCCCAGAGGAGAGGGCCACTGTCAACAAGGGGTTCTTGCAGTACTTTCTTGTGCCATCGTGAGTTTTCATGTGCTCTGGTGTTGTGAGGCGCTGTTGGGAATATTTCCTATTTGGCCTGTAGTTTTGTCAGATTGCTTTGAAAACTGGTGGAATGAAAACAAATCACTGCAGGGTGTAGCAGCAGGAACCACATATATCACACTTTCAGAGGCACTGCACTGTGAAGTAGGTGCCATGGGCTTGTGCTCATCTCCGCACTTGGTGTCTGTGCAGAGCCACTCAGGCAGAGCTGTGATAGAGGCCACAGTCTCATGGGCTGTGTGCTAAACAACCTGCAAAGTTAGACATCTGGCACATATCCACTGACAGCTGAATTTGAGGTCCTGTTTCTATCCAACTTTCATTGTTTGAAAATCTTTAAACTATGAAAAACGTACAGCATTAAATCTATGTTCGTTTAGCCTGTTACAACACCAGACAGTAATAGTTATAAGACCATTGAATCCATACTGTATACTATTGTTAATATCCTAAAGGAAACCAGAGGTGATTGAACTTATCTGGGCCGCCCTTGGTCACTGGATGCCATATTCTTGTCCACGAATGCATTTTCATAAACCTTCCTGTACTGTTGCGCTTATGCACAGAGAGCTCCTCTGGGTTCAGGCTTTACTGTTGTGACACTGCAATAAAAGCACAGCCACAAGGAGGAGGATGAAAGAGTCAATCCAAACACCTAACATGTAATTTTTTACTGTGCACTTCACTGCAGGACACAGGGAGTTGCAGAGGACTTCATAAAAAAGGCAAAATTGCACAAACCCATAGTTTGGAAAAGCTGTTCACTTTCTTTATTTTTTTGTCTTTGTTGGTTATCCTCCCATTTGTTCTCTTGATGGGATCTAATAAGAGAGATTGGTCTTTGTGTTGGGCCAGCAGTGTCTTCATGTTTGTAAATGAAAATATCAATTACATTCTTGTTATGCTTAATGTAGTCTGCATGTTCCTCCAGCACTCACATTCGCATTGTCGAATACAACTGGAGTCTCTGAGTGCTTTATTTCTCTACACGTGTGTGCTGTATGTGTGCCCTGCAATGGACTGGTGTCCTAAGCTATAGGATGTTACAGCCCTTCCTGGGAATTAGTCAGTTTCTGATAACATTGAATACCTAAGGTTGTGTCTGACCTAAATTCCAGAAATCCAAATTCGACTAAGTGTTGATGTAACTAGGAAATAACTTTAAAAAGTGCTTCCTCCCCAATGTGATGAGAATGAAATCCCTCTGTAATATGTGGGGAGGGAGCTGGAGATCAGAGTATTTCGCTGCTCATACACATTATGATTGATCACAACTGAGAACTGAGAACACTCAGATACTGAAGAGACAATGTTAACTTTTTCTACACACCCTGAGCACAAATTAATATCTGATAGAGCAAAAATGAAAAAAGTGAGTGGGGTCTCTATTCATGCATTATGAGAGAGACTGGGTTTCGCCTGGCTGCAGTTTGAGAGGTTAAAATGATGCTGTAGAACCCATTGGAATTGATCACAGTGGAAGCAAGGTCCCTTCACAGAAAGTTTAAGCTTCAGGCTCGGCTGCTTATAGACATTGATGAACAAAGAAGACCATGAACAAACAATCACGCTTTCACAGGCAGATCAACAGGTGTCGAATGCTTTTGCTTCCCAGTGTCCTAAAAGAAACAATTGTGTTTGTATCCAGGATGTCTGTCAACCAGACACGCAGTTGCAGATCGCAGACACACCAGTTCTCCGTTCAACCACTTAGGGCTCAATTGTGTCGCTTACCTAGGCTGTCCATTTTCTTCTCCGCCTGAGGAGAGGGAAAACAATTAGGGTTCAAATACGAGTGAAGGAAGTGCTTCTTGATCTAATTTTAAAATAGCGTTAATCAACTTTTTTCATTTTGTGTAATACATTGGAATGTTGTTTACCTGCAGGAAGAAACTAAGGTTAGGGAAGAAACCAATTATGATGAGGTTCTCATGATGACAAACTCCGGATTTACAACATTTAAGGGCAAATGGAAGATGTCTGATGTGACATTGAAGATGTCTGCTCCATTGTGAGTGGATGAGCACAAGATCTTCTTGATTTGACACTGACAGTGCCTTTGCCCTCAGCATGCTGAATTCCCTGTGGCTTCCTAATAAACTAATGCAGCTGCCAACTGAGCCCGACTGACACTTTCACATTCAACCATGTCTCCTTGAATTAGAAATATCACATTCTTGCATTCAGACACTCTCCAACAACAATTTCCATGGCTCAACTGCTCCTGATTATCTGTAGTGCTGAGAAGGGTAGATTTGTGCCTCTCCCCTCCCCCTGTTTGTTTCTGTGCCCTATCACAGTCCCAGCAGTACAGCTGTTTCAAATAGCATTAAATTGAAATAGGCCCTGAGCAGTGCAATGTCTCCCTTCAAATTCATATGCCTGGGCTACAAGTAAGCTTTGTATTTTTTGTAGGCATGTGCAGAAAATCCTAGAATGAAGGCTGTGGCATTCTCAATTCCAATTCCCCAAACCATTTATTGTGGTATTACTATCCAAACATCCCTGACAACTTCTCATCTTCTGTATAGAATTGGGCCGTCAATAAAAATAGCCTTCAGAGGAATCTTAGTAATTCACTTCACCAAATCAGTGTCTTGAGTGGTGTGCAAGATGAGTAATGTGCAGAGTTAGTACTAGAATTTTTTTTTTTTACAAAAACATAAGTGTTTATTGTTTTGTAAAAGCTTTCTGAAGGCCGGTGACAACAGGAAAAAGAAAATGAGACAACAAAGCAGTTTGTGGTTTCGTAAATCTTGATACAAATACAAGGGAGAAGAAGTGGACGATGGGGAACTGCTTGAGATTAAAACAAAACAAAACCGTAATTAGTCTTTTAGTAATTTGGACATCATGCTTTGAGAAAGATACCTTGCACTCAAGGTATATATTATATATTGTTTCTTTCAAGTAACCCACTTTTAGTAGAAAAAGTGAAACCAAATACTGGTATTATAAAAAGGAAAAATATTTTTGGTATCATAATGTTTCCCCATATTTTCCCACCTTCTTGCCGTGAATCTCTTCAAAACATATAGAAATAAAATAAAATGATATATGTCTGTATGAGCCATGCAGTTCTTTGTTAAGCAGTCTAATACTAATCATTAGAAGTGTGGCTTCACCTTCCTGTGCTGTGGAGTCCCGGTGAGCGCTCACATTTCTCCTGCTTCGAGTCCTCGTCTGTTCTCAACCTCTGACAGCTCCTTGATGTAGGATTTGAAAATTGGACGCAGCTAGTAGAGAATCCGGTATTGCTGTGATTTGTTTCATACAGGAAATGCTATATTCCTACTTCTTTTTTCCTGGATAAATGACCTGTTAAACACACTGTAAGTCATACATGCTAAAAACTCAAAAAAGCAAAACTGTAACCCTATTTCTGTGATCTCACGCTTCATCAATATGCAGTAAAAGACTGTAGGCATGGCGCTCAGCTAAATGAAGTCAGCAACTATTCTGGTTGATTTCACAGCCTTTTTTTAGAATTAAGATCCTAACCAAGAAGTAAACACAGGGTACTCTGAGAAACCTATTTTTAAAAGACACAAGGCCAGGGATGTTTTAAACCAAGGTTACCCTAGAACCTGCAATTTGCATGGATGAAATAATACCACACACTCATGCAAAAAACACAACCTGAGCAGTCTAAATTGAGACAAATGCCGAGTCTCTAATAGATTAGAGTGGGAATGTGTTCCATGTGTTTTTTTCACTGGTCTATGACTGTTATGTATGCATTTTTCAGACTGTAATGGTCCTTTTATGAAAAAGGCCTGTTTTGCTATGACTAAGAGTAGATACAGCATCCCATCTATTCAGTCTTAAGACTTTTTATACATTCAATCTGGTGTGTGGGTTGCAGAATTAGTCACAAATCCTCCATTAGGCTGAATCTAAATGTGAAGGTGGCTAGTTTTTCTAGCTTTCCAATAGCTTGAATTCTGACAAGGGAGACTCTAGCTCAAAGCTCAAAGGAGTCAGCTTGTTAAAATGATTTGCGTAGTGTTTCGTGCTCAAGTATATGATAAATACATTAAATTCAGGCTGCCAAGATGGAGGATAAGTGCACATAATAGTGTTGAGCAGGGACCAGAGAATAAGAGTCTGCAGGAGAATCTGCATTGTCTACATTAGTGGTAGGAAATTGACATGTTAACTAATGTGATCCCTGAGCCACACGGTGCTTTATTTGACTATAAAAGAGTGCTGTGTTTAGGCAGAAATGCAGTTTTACAGTTGATACTCTCTGTAAATTCAATCTTCTCAAGTTCCAAAGTTCCAAAGGGATTTCCAAAATAAAATTCATACATACAGTATGCAACATAAGCGATTGCTTTTGCTTGAATGTATAGAATTGGTCTGTGTGCAGAGAGAGAATCAGAGGGATCTATACACATGACATTTCTCTCTCCTCCCTGACATTTCCAAACCAGTGTGCTCCTGAGGTTGGGAGTAATGAGTGCTCTTCGATTCGTCCGCACGTTCGAGGTCACCGTATCGCCCCCCTGTGGGGGACCTTGGCCACGCGGCAGTGGAGAGCTGGCTGGTGTTTTCCCCAGCCCCCACAGAACAGATGGCAGGAAACCCTGCTGGACTGCAGCTCTCCGAGATATGACTGTCCCCGAGTGAATCTTCTGGAGCTCCGTAGGCCTGTGCATTTCCTTCCAATACCTATTTGGCATGTACACTAGTGTAAATATTTTGGCTCAAACTGATATATCTAATAAAACTGTTTAGAATGTCTTCCTAATGTTTTTACATTGCGCACAGATATAAACCATTCCATACAAATACATGGACAGGAAAGACAAAGTCAGCAAAGCACCTTGTATAAATATTTGTGAAATCTGTAAATCCTGGATAACCTTGCTCATCTTGAAGGAAATTTACAGCTTCCTGTGATGTCTATTTCACCTTTCTTTTCAAATACATACTGTCAGGATATTTTTAATTCATATTATTGATTATAACAATATAAAAAAACTATAATGACCCTGACTAGAAATATATTTTCTGCGAAGGTATACAAATTATAATGTGCTACAATTATTATAAATAAAACACTTCAGAAAGAATATTTTTTTCTAGGTTTTGGCCTGGACACTTTTTTATCATTTGTATATAAAATCCCAACAGGAAAGTTTGAAAGTCACATGTTATAGTTCACACTATGCTTTCAAGTCAACTACTCTGTGTAAATGTTGAGTCCAGCATCACCCCACATACTCCCATGAAAACATCTCGTCTTAAACTGGACAAGGCACAATATAAGCTGTTCCAACCTGTTGATCCTGCACTGAAGCAGAAAGCTTCAAAAGGCCCTTGTATCCTTGTGGAGACACAATGCTCATTTTGAAGGATTAAGGGATTGTATTGACATTGGTGCAAGTGTTGGAGCAGGGGTCTCAGAATTCAGTCATGATAACATCAAGCACTGAGATTATCATCGAAACACTGGGTCAGCTTCTAAAGAGGGAGTTGACAATTTACATGTTTATCTTCGGCAAACGTCTGTGAACCTTCTGTGATTTTTGAACATGTCATACCATGGTTAAAATAGATGCAGAACTGAGATTCATCCTGAAAGCACTCCCAATGGCATCCCCAGTATTCAGGTCTGTGCCTTTTGCCTGTATTAAAACACAAACAGCTGTGAAGCCCAGTGATGCTGAGTCATGGTCTTGTCATTTTTTATTGAGATTTTAGAATTCAGTATATATTAGTGTTCTTTAGAAACAACTTAGTTTGTTAACTGAGTTAAGTTGAAAGCTTCTTTCCAGTCCAGGTGACAGCGCTCTGTGATTATATGCTGTAAATCATTTACAGGTCCTGCTGGTTGTTCCCTTGTCATTTTGCTGCCATAAACTGATGGGGCACGTCAGAAGCTGCTGTGTGCTGTGAAAATCTAGTTTAGTTATAAGACCATGAAATCAGTTATTAAAAGTTTAGTACATTTAGTAATTTAGTAAACTAAGTGGGGGCAAATAGGGACATCTTTGAATATACAAAAACTACAGAATCCATTAATAAGGGCATCTTCACAAAATAAAGGATCCTGGCTACTGAAATACTGTAATATACCCTAATGAGGCAAATGACTGAAAAAGCCAGGCTCAAAGCTTTGTGTTTGGTTACATTTTGGGCAAGAAAATGGCAGATGTTGTGCTGAAATGAGTTGATGGCTGATGAGGTTTTCAGCTTACCAAGTCCAGAGCTCTGTCTTGAGTGACAGAAGGGAGTATTTTTATTTCCATTTTCAGTGCACAGTCCCTGCCTGTGGCTGCGTACTTAATGAAAAGGTTATGCTCTTCACTAACTCAAGACAAGCTCTGTTTAGATCCCAAGTCTTTCCTGCATTTTAATCTGTACTTCACAAACAGCAGGAGGAAAAAAATAATTTTAATTTTTACTCTATGCCAAGTCCCTCCAAAAACCTCATGCGAAACACAGACATACTGTGCAGGCACATGTACCCACTCGTGCTGAGGACGCGGCAAGACTGACACGCAAGGACGGACCAGTATAGACTTTATCACATAAAACTTAGTCTAAACAAACTTGAATATAAAAATATGTTAACATTAGAATGCAAATCATAATTTTTGTTATTTGACATGAAGGTTTAACTCTCATTTCTTTCCTGAGAAGTCCTGGTGCTCAGTATTTCTACAGCTTTATCTAATGTAAAAACTAGTAATGGTTTGGTCACAGAAGGGATGTAATTCATGTTTCAAGTATCTGATGTCTGTGTAGGCTCTCACGTATCAGTATAGTGAAGTTGTGAGATCCGGGACTGCTAGGCATTTTTCTCTACTGTCATGTCGGTAAACATAACTGATGCAGCACAACTCGGTTGAGCTAATTTCTTCCTAGTGCAGGACGATATCTCCAGGGTGAAATTCTTCTGGGTCGACAAGGTGGACTGGACCGTGGCCCTGCAAGGGCTCCTCAGTACACCATCCATCAAACCCAGACCCGACACAGTGCCAGGGGTCTGTCCCTCAGAGTGTGTGCTGAGCCAGAGTATACCGTCTGACCCAGAGTCCTTGCACATTAGTTCGAAACCCAGCCAGATACAAGGTTGGCCAATTAGATCCTTCTCATTGCCCCTTCTCTCACAATAAAACCAAGCTAGAAGGTTTCATCCCTCTCATTTTCAACAGGTTGTACAGCAACAGATGATCAATAGCCTATGTATTCAGTTGCACCCAGGGCAGGACCGATCAGTTTGCTCTTTAGAGGCACACCTTGGGTCTACAGTACACACAGAGCAATGCTCTGCACTGGACTTCTGTGGGCCACTCTGTGTATAATCTTAAAATATTCAGATTCGATTTTCCTGCAATTTCCATTGACAGAAAAAAGACTTCTATTTGGAATACAATTAACCAATATACAGTGTATAAAAAACATAATCACAACCAAGGATATAGCAGGAGATACCTCTTGTTCACTTCACTTAACTAATTATTTCTGACCAGATACAATCTATCAAAAGAAAAGGTCCTCCTTGGTAAACAGCACCCCTACTGGATCGCAACTGATTTGAGCTGGCTGCCAGTGCTGTTCAAGTTTAATTGGTAACGCACTCAGGGGTGTTTATATGCCATCGGAGGAGCTGCAGAAGGACCTCTGCTGTGTCTAATCTCTACCTCCGAGGAGACCCGAGCAGCTAAGAGCACCGTCATTAATAGATGAGCTTCTCATCTCGAGAGGATTCTGTCACAACAGGACCGTGGAAAGTGAGGAGTCTTCTAATGGAGAATCAGCCAGAGTGAGAGGAAAAGGAAAAATTAGTCATGAGAGAAGAGGAAGAAGCATGTCAAAGGATAATTAAATGTATTAATGCACTAAATAAACAACACACCACAGTAATGGAGCGTGGCAGGTTAGTTTAGTACTATGGTGCTTTTACACATTGGTTTTTGGTAAAACAAAGTAATTCCTGGTATATATGGCCGCAGTGTAGGATTGAATTATCCATTATTGCCCCTAAGGGAATTTGTCTTGCATAAAAAGACTCATAAACATATAACATAGGCAATAATACAATGCAATAATGGTACGATACCATGGTACACATCAACATTTAACAACATCAATCAAACCCAGACAATTAGTTTGTGAAGAATCTAAAAACAACAGCAGTATAAATGGTAAGATAAGACTTGCAAACACTTTTTAGTTGTTCAACAATACTTTTAGGTAAAAAACATACTTTTAGGTATAAAGAAGGAAAATTCTCTCTTAGTCTTAATAAAGGGGATCTGGTACTTTCCGCAGTGTGCAGGAGTGTATTTTCTAAAAAGAGTGGATAAAAGGGGTCGTCTAAGACATGGTGTGCTGGATTAATATGATGCTTCATTAGACACATTGCTGAGTCCATGAATGTGCCGGTAATCTTGCCACCAGTCCTGATCACTTTGCTCAACTTGTTTTCTGCAAGGACAAGGCACCTTTCCAGCCCGTAATACTGAAGGTTAGAATGCTCCGAATAAATCTTTTAAAGAGTGTAAGAATTGTGCATATTGTGTACAAAGCACAGACCTATTCAGAAATATATGACTGAGCAGACATCAAAAGGAACTCTTCTGACACTGACAAGTCATAATACCGACCTTGCAGTTTTTAACTGGGGAAAATACAAATTATTAATGATTATATTAATTATTGGGGAACTTTGGTTATTTAACATTAGTTATTGGGGTTAATGGGGAAATAGACTTCCTCTAAATTATGTTTCCATCCTTTCAGATGCTGTCTGCTGACTCTCAGTGCTGTAGTGCAGATGACTTTGCAGTCCAGAAGCCAAAATGGTGCCCCATCTACTCTGCTGAGTCATTTTGTGGTTTTCCATTTCTTTTTAATAACTTAGAGCTTGTAGCCAACACATTCCTCTTCCTCAACCTTCCTCCTCTATGAAAAGCACGTTTATGCTTTCATCAGATCAATCCTTTCTATTTGTTTTGGTTTCTTCTATTTCTGAAGTTTGTTCAATACGCTGTAATTTTGGGAAAGAATGAAATGATCTGACACTTTGAATAATACACTGAATGAAAGCAGGCAGCCTGTTGTTTTCAGTCCTGCAGAACACTAAATGGTAAATGTCTGCAATTATGTTCATAACCACTCAAATCAGAAACTACCAAAACAAAAACACAGTTCTGTAGCACAGCATGTTAAGCTTATTTTGTGGTACAATATGAACTGCAATTAAAAGACACTGAAATGCAGTCTCTTATTCAGTTGAAACATACAGTGCACTTAGGCTCCAGGTATTTGTAAACAGCTTTGTGTACATAATCAACACTGTGCATTTGTAGGAGCTTTAATACTAAATCTGTGCTTCACAAAACAGGAAAATTGTTTCTAATAAAGCACCAGAGAGTTGAACATCTATGATACAGTAAGCCAAGCCGCCAGAACTGACAGCTTTAATATGACTTATTGTGTGCTTATGTGTACATATGTGGGATTCATCTCTTTTAATAAACCTTTTTTCGGGGGTTCAGCTGGTTACCTGTTGCACCTCTTGGTTCATTTGCAGCAGGAGATTGGAATCATTCCTGGACACTCCAGGGCAATTCCAGAATGTCTTAGATGTCTAGTAAGGAGAAATCAGCAATGCAACACAATATAAATAGATCTACTGTAGAATATATCTACACTTCTGAAAAATATGCCACTAATAATTACTGTTGACTGAGAATATTTGCCGGAGAAGACAGCCCATCACACATTAAAAACACGGATGCTGAGCGAAACAGCGCCGCAAGGACAGCTCAGAATAAACAGAGCAATCTGTGACGCACTTGGAAACGAAGATGCTGCAAGGGCCCCTGTGTAGATACTTCAACAATCAGGAGACAGAGAGAGAGAGAGACGTGCTGCACTCCAGGAGGAACACTCAAAGGGAAATCTATTATTCACCACACCAGCTTACAGGCAGCCGGACTGCATCATCAGGCAGGCAAGGGCTCATCACAGGACGGCGCTCTGCTGTGCAGCACGTTATTTATGTATTGAGAAATAACATGCATTTTATATATATATATATGTTTGGCCCCCTCGCCCCTCTGAAAATAACTACAAAATTGAAAAACAGCACAGGCATTGTATAACACAAACAGTAGCGACACACCTGATGAGGCTCCAGCAGAGGTGCTGTTAATTCATCCTCCTGGTGTGGAGGAGACCTCTGCTTGTTCAGCCCTCTTCTCCCATTCAGGCCGAACTGGTGACTGACACCACTGCAAATAAAAAAACTGAGTTTTTATGTTTAATATATTTACCAGTATGTAATATTAAGAAAAATGAATGTATAACATTTCTTTCAATTTAAACAATTAATGAAACAATCATGCAATTAATAATCTATTGTTTTTAAGATGAAGTGAAGTTAAACATTTGGCTTCAAAAGTGTATTAAATCTGAGAATATATTTTAACAAACTGTCATCTTCAGTTGTGAAGAGGCATCTTCAGCTGCAGCAGAGACAAAAACCTTATTTACCTTTTCTTCTTTATGTTAACAAGCAAGCTTTCCAAAATTGTTTTTGAAATTCAATGTATTTTGTTCTCCACTAAAAAGCAGAAATCTAGTTAAGCTTTTGGGCATCTACTCTTAAAACCTGACAACATCTGTTGAGTTTTATTGCTTTCTTTTAAATTGAGTATAAACCTACCTGCCTCCTCTGACAGTCCCACTGCAGTTTTCACTAAGTGCAGTAAAATAAAACCTTCTCTGATTCAAAGGCAAGTTTCCAGACTCCCTCATACAAAGCTACCGAGCTAGAACCTACTAGAACAGCTTTCAGACCACAGAAGGTAAACAGCATTTTTGCAGAAGTGGAAACTTCTAGCCTTTTTATAAAGACAACAAACAATATCGAGCTTTACAAATTATAAAGTCGACACTTTTTTTGTTAAATATTTTGCTTTAATTGTATATGGTGACGGTGTTTATTTAAACGACATTTTTCTTTTTCTTTTTAAATTTTACATCATTTTTAAATCTAGTTATCCTGGAAAAGAGATAGTTTTTGTGTTTCCTGAGAAGATTTTTTTTTCTAATTAACAGCAAATATCGATGTGAACAAAGGTGTTTCCTCTGGGACATCATCTTAATTTTCTATTGATCTTTCAATAAGTCGGGTTGTACCAGGAGAATGGAAGGTGACATCAGTTATTCGGTAATTTCTCTTAACACCTGCATTATGCTCTGGGTTTCTAAATCTTCCTCGTACACTACTTCCCAGCTGGGCTCAAGTCCGGACGTGAAGTACACGTCCGCCCAGACGTGGAGCATTCCTATAATGGACGCGTGCGCGGATCGACGTGACGACTAACACCATCTTGCCGACCCGAAAAGTTTCATTAGCAAAATATTTGAGTACAACAGGGGTTTATTAACAATAGAACAGATAAGCTCATTCTGTTCAATAAAAGGTCACACTTGGGTGCAGCTTTATATATCAAAGCAGTACTCGTACTCGTTGTTTAATGTTTTATATGTTGTTATTGGGAAAGAAGGATTAGTAATGTGGCTCTGAAAATAGAAACTGAGCGCAGATTACTGAATACTTATGTAAAGTCTTACGTTATATACATATGAACCCTAGGGTTAAATCAGCTGCAAAGCTTGCTCATCCACTTTAATGTTTAATGTTTAAGCAACAACAGACTTCCCAGAGATCTGAAACAGACACAGCCACACTCACAATGCAGCTGTCATTTTTAGTCATTTCCCCAGTAAATAAAATGGATTTATGCATTAAATATAGCACTTTTCCAATTGAGTTAATAACAATGAAGCCTCAACTTTTTTAGATATGACACTTATTCAAAAATTAATTGCATTTATATTATGCTGTTTATGTGTAGGCTTGTTTTACCAGGGATATATTTGATCAGCCTTTGCAAATATACTTCAATACAGTTTCATTTGATTGACTAGTTTGTGATAATGTTTTAAAATTATAAAAAGTTTTAAAAATGTAGCACAAGCTGTGTGTTCAACTGTACTTACTCACAGTACAGCGCCAGCCCGTTAATGTTTGTGAGTATGATATGATGACAGGTTGTAATAATGTTATAATATCTGTCCCATATTTGCAGTCCTTGTTATCTGCTGAGCAGGTGGGAAGAGAAAAGAGCTGTAATCCAGTTGTCACGATGGCAGGACTCTGAAAGACCGAATACACTCTGGGAATATTACAGGCAGGCAAGTCACAAGGTAGAGTCTTGACCCATGTGAGCTAGTCCGACTCCTCAGCGTCCATTCCTCCTCCTCACTGAATGCCAGCAGAGTCACCAGCCCCCGGGAAGCACCAGCGAGGCTAAAGACTGCAATGAACTGAGGGATCACTGCTGCACACAAATGAGTCCCATGATAAACCCGGAAACCTAACGGCAGTCCTCAGCTGTTCAATGACATCAAGAATCTGGGTACCTAGTATCCAATCTGACAGCTCAGCCACAGTTATATCATTATTCGCCATCACCCTAACTGCACAGCTGTGGAGGACAGGATACAGTATATGATGATTGCAGTTTTCCAATAAATCTCAGTTACTCTCTGTGTTTCAGGGGGAACAGAGGGCAGGAAAAAACTGTTTATTTCCAAACCTGGGTGGCATAGTTTTTTGATATACTTCAGTTTATGAAGTATGCCATTCTGATTTCTCAATAATCAGAACTATCAACAACCCTGCAAACCTCAAGTGTCTGGTAAGGTGTTGAATACCATGGTCAAGTCTAGAGGGTGCCACAAACTGTCAAATCCTGGTTCTGGAGGCTCAGCTGGACCAGTTTAGTAGTTTCTTCCAGTTCCTCAGATGCTGCTGCTTAAAGGAGATCTTGTCAACCTGCAGAAGAACTAGCCTTCCAGAACCAGGATTGGATTTGACTTATGAATGAATGTATTCTGAACATATTGAAGGATGTTATATCAAGTAGTAATGAAACAATATTTATCACACTTTATAAAACATTGAATATCCTTGTTGCAGATGCAGCATGCCAAATATGCAGTTCTATAAACAAAATAATAAAACAACAGGGATACGTGGATTGACATGATCTTTATACAAAACACAAACACTCCTTCAATGTATTGATTGAATTTCAGAAAAACCCAACTGCAAGACATGATCTTTAAATCAACCACAATACAAACCTTTCTTAGAATAGAAGGTAACTGCTCCTGACTGGCAGCTCCACAACCAAACATGAACCAAAGACAGACAGCACTGGTCTGCAGTAGGAGCTGGAAAAGATTCATGATACAGTAGGTTTTTTCACTACAGTAAACAGAACTCAGACCCAGTACGCAGTCATGTGTAATGTCTTACTAAATTTTCTGGTCGTCTTATTTTTTTTCTCAAATCTGTGGTACAATAAATATAACATTCGCAGCTGCTGGATGACCATCTGTCAATTATCATTAAAATACTTTTTCGATTTGTAGCAATGTGGAAACACAGGACACAAGACAGGACACCATGATACTTTAGAGTCCCATATGAACCCAGACTACGCAGAAGTAAGCCCAAACAAACACAGAAAAACACGCAGGGGGCTAAGAAAACTAGGTTGCGTAAGAATCTAACCTTGGAAATGTCTTGAGCAATAAAATACACAACAGGTATAGACCAATATGCAGGATCAGAGCCAAGGGTAACCGTAACCAAGCAACACAAATACGGAACATAAGCAATATGAAACCCACAGAAATTGTCACTTAAAATCTGCCTGTACTCCAATAAATGGTCTGTTATCTGGAACACATTAGCTTCACTTTTTCCTGTAGTAGCTATGCAACACTTTGAATCTTTTAAAAGCATTAGCTCTGGGATGTTCAGGTTTGAATGAATTTATTCTCAGGCCATGGGCATAGCATGAAATTTGCAAATACTACACAAATTAAAAATATACTAAATAATTGTCCTAAAGTAAAAAAATTGCATTACAACACATTAAATTGCTCACATCCTTGTGAGGGGCCAGTTTTAAAATCTTAATGAATGTGCATCAAAAGCCTAATTCTACACAGAAAAGCTCAGCTCTCATCACTGTCACACAGGAGGCTGGACAGACTGCTGTACTTGAGAGAGCAGAGACCATGGGCATAGAGCAGAGCAAAATAGGACACAGTAAGGACCAGACTAAAGTAATAGGCACCTTTTGACCTGCTCTGAAATAATACTTCTTTTAATCACTTGTGCAATACCTTTAGGTGCATGTAAAAAGCTTTCAAAGATATCAGCTTATTAAAAACATTACAAAGCTTTGATAGAGGCACACAAATGCTGCAATAGTTATTACAGTTATAAGCCACATGTACAGTACAGTTAAAAAAGAAAATATTCACATATATGCATATTATTGTCATTGCATATTAAAGGCCTTAACTGTGTCAGCACACAAATATTCAACATTTTTTATTTTACAACTGGGTATACTTCAGTATTTCCAGCTTTGTGCAGTGGGCGGATTTTTTTCAAATCAAAGCAGCCTAGTTTCTATCATCATGAGTTTCTGGATAAACCAGTTTCTCGTAAGTTTTAAATGTGTTTGATTCATTTCAGTGATGACAGAACTTAGAGAAAAATAAAATACCTCTAATTTCACTGTCATGAATAAAAGCAAATGCTCTTTCTAGAGATTATTTTGTGAAATAGTTGTAAAATCACTGAGATCATGTGAAATCTACAAAAACCAGGCCTTGAGATTTATATATTTATTGAAGTAACTCATTAATTTTAATTTGATCCAAGATAAACTGCTACCTACAGAGTTTGCTTTACCAATGTTCAACATTACTTTCCCACTCCTGGAAAATAAAGAAAATAAAAGTTTTGACGTTTTTGCAATGAAGTACATGAATGAAATACATGACTTCACTTTGTCCACTTTCTCATTTGTCTCGCTTGTGCTCATTGCAACAAGCTCATTCTACAGAACGTCCTCTCAGTTTTGCTATAGCTATGATCTTTTCACTGCCAGTCCTCTGTATCTTTATGACATTCATGCACTGGATACTGTTGTAAAACTTTTTAAGTGTGACCATTCTTTACATTAAAGCTACAGAGGACACTTGAGCTATTCTAGTATCTCTGTCCACCTGTGAAACCCAGGTTTCATGTATTTGTGAAGGAAAAACATGTTTTTAAATTAGATAAAAAATATATTAATGGATTGATCGTGTAATTGCTGCCCAAGATACATATTGGAAGATTAAATTG